CTCTCGACAGATGCACGCCCCTCTTCACCAGAGATCTCATCACCTCAGCTCGGGGCATCCTCACTTCGAACAACAACCACACCTCTACCCGCCTCTCGACAGACGCACACCCCTCCTCACCAAAGATCTCATCACCTCGGCATAGGGCATCGTCACTTCGGACGGTGGCCACACCACGATGGCCCCCTCTGCCCACCTCTCGACGAACGTGCCCCTCCTCGACATAGGAAATCGTCACTTCAGATAGTGGCTACACCTCAGCGGCTACCTCTACCTCGGCTTGTGGTATCGTCACCTCGGACGGCAGCCACACCTCTGCCCACCTCTCAACGGGCACGCACCCCTCCTCACCAGACATCTCACTTCCTCAACTCAAGGCATCATCACTTCGAATGGAGGCCACACCTCGGCGGGCCCCTTTACCCACCTCTTGACAAACGCACGCCCCTCATTGCTAGAGATCTCACCTCCATGGCTCGGGGCATCGTCATTTTGGACGGCAGCCACATCTCGGAGGCCACACCTCCACGGCCTCCTCTACCCGCCTCGGCTTGGGGTATCATCACTTTGGACAGCGGCCACACCTCGGCAACCACCTCTGCCTGTCTCTCGACGAGCGAGCACCTCTCCTTGTCAGAGATCTCACCCCCTCAACTCAGGGCATTGTCACCTCAGACAATGGCCATACCTCGATGACCCCCTCTGCCCGCCTCTCGACAGACGCTCACCCCTCCTCGCCAAACACCTCACCTCCTCGGCTTAGGGTATCGTCACTTCGGATGGTGGGCACACCTCGGTGGCCCCCTTTGCCTGCCTCGGCTCGGGGCATCGTCACTTTAGATGGCGGCCAGCCGGCCACACCTTGGACGGTGACCACACCTTGGCGGCCCCCTTTGCCCACCTCCCGATAGGCGCGCTCTCCTTGCTAGAGATCTCAACCCCTTGGCTTAGGGCATCATCACTTTGGACGGTGGCCACACCTCGGCGTTCCCCTCGGCCTACCTCTCGATGGACGTGCGCCCCCCTCACCGGAGATCTCACCTCCTCGATTTGATGCATTGTCACAGACAGTGGCCACACCTCAGCGGCTCCCTCTGCCCACCTCTCGACGGACATGCACCCCTCCTCTCCAGAGATCTCACCTCCTCTGCTCGAGGCATCATCACTTCGGACAACATCTACTTGCTCATCGGATAGCATAGTAGCATAAGCCAAAGTCGACGTCTCCATGCTCCCAAGTCGGGTTATCCTCAACATCTCCAAAATCAAGGCCAACACCTCCACGCCCGAAGACCGCTCTCACCAGCTCAATCGTTGTTGAGGCCCTCGCCATAGAAGGTCACTCGACGCCTCCCAGCAAGGATGACACACTCTCTTCGACCGAAGCCAAGGTCCTCAGATAAGACCTCCACCGCGGCCTCGAGAGTGGGGGGCAAATGATTTAGGCACTTTAGGTAGGCCAGTAGCACGCCGACACACGAAGGGCGGTGCGCTGCATGGGACCAATGGCGCAACCACACGTGGCAACCTCGAATGGTCTTGCTCCCAAGGTCAGATCGCATCCCAACCGTCCCCGCCCATCTACCTCCAGGCAGTCTCAAGTATAAATGGGAGCAAACCTCCTCAAGGTAATCATTTGGAATCTCAGCTGGAAACCCACTACCCCAAGCTCTTTAGCCTCTTGGCGACCTCGTTTGAGCTACTATAGTCAAGTCCCATCCGCCCTCTTTGCCACACTCCTACTAACTTGACCGTCAGAGTCCCTGCATCGGGCATCGACCCGAGGCCTCTGACGTTCCCTTCCCTACAGGACGGACTCCACAGGTCCTCAGCCGCAGTAGACCTTGGACTCCACTGGTCCTCGGCCTTAGCAGTTCACAAACCCCACTGGTCCTCGGCCACAGCAGACCTCAGACTCCACTAGTCCTTGCCCTTGCCAGCCCTCGGACTCCATAGGTCCTCGACCATAGTAGACCTTAGACTCCATTGGTCCTCGGCCTCAGCATCCCTTGGACTCTTCCATCTGCCAGCTCGTCCGGAAAGCGAAGCTGCAGAGTTGTCCTCAGCTCATTCTAAGCATCAACACCTACCTTTCCCTACTTTTTTTTCTTCAAACCAAGCATAGCCTTACTGATTGGCAATCAAAGTGAAACTATTGTAGGTTCCCATCCCAAATCAATTGAACGTAAAGGCTGAGCCTTTGTCTCCTATACTATTTTCCTCTTTGTTCAACAACAATGAGCAAAGGTTTTTGTGATCTTCAATTCCTATGTATTCTTTGTTCTTGATTGTAGATTAAAATCATGATTAATACAACTCACCGGTTGAGGCAATCCAAGATGAAAGGGTGTTAATGGACCGGTATTGGACTGGACCATCTATTTTAAAATCAATTTGGACGGATTGGACGGACCAATAAGATATATTGGACTTGACCAATCCAATCCAAAATATTTATTTGATTGCATTGGACCTGGTCCGTACGTAATAAATTTACATTGAATTAGGTTGGATTAAGCTACTATCTAGTCCATTGATATAAAATAAGAATATAAATGTCAATGAACTGGGTTTGGGTTGAAACCAATCTAAATTAAAAAGAATTTAAACAGATTGGAAAGTCTAGACATTGAATTAGAGTGTTTCAAAATGGTCCAAAATATTCATTGAATTGGATTGGACCTGATTCATTTGTAATGAACTCACATTGGACTGGATCGGATTGGACCAAACCCAGTCCAATTGACACCCCTACCAATATGGTACTAAAGTTCTCTAATTCATACTTAATTTTTATTGT